GCGATACACGAATATGTATAACTAATAAATAAAGAAATAAAGGTTATTTTTCACTTTTTTACATTATTCATATTTAGCTGAAAAAGTTCTAGAAATATACCAATTGTATGAATACTGTCTTCCCATTAATATAAACAAATACATTATATATTCAAATAAAGATATTTTCAAGCGCATATAATAAGTAAAACAAAAAAGAAATAAAAATCCTTACAACTATAGAATCATATAAACAAATTAATTTAAAATATTCAATATTATATTTGAAAAACTTAGGTTATTTTTTTTTTTGGTCTATTGGACCACAATAAAAATCGAAAGAAGTCTATTAAGTCATTAACGTCATTTGTCATTAAACAAAGTCAAAGAAGTGTAGCTTTATATACTTCATTATATATATTATTATAATTAAATAACTAATTAAAATAGTAAGTCGCAAAAGGAAATGGTTAGTGACGCATAAATGAAAAACGCATAGATTAGACACGTGGGAAAAATATTATAATCAATTGTTTCAAATATGTTATACCTTCTTTAATTTTTATTGTAGACTTCTTTCCAATTCTTTAATTTTAAGGCAAATTTACCATTAATGGACACTACTAATAAAAAACAGTTTTCAGCTCATTAACAAATAATAAGCTTCATATGACCAAAAAAGAGTGCAAATATGAGAAGATTCGGAGCTAGAACATTAAAGAGGGTGAATCTCAAATGCTATCTACCACAATAATCGATTGGCAGTCGATTTGTCAACACCTTAGCTGCGGTTGTGGTCCCTGGCGTCTGTCAGATATAATGATTATTTACGGTTGTAATCATCTTTACATCTCTCCAACTCACATTAAAATATATTTAAAAATGACCGTTTTAGAGACTTCGTAATATAGGCTAAATTCGAAACAATCCCAGCCGAAATCGAGACCAATATCGTAACCCCAGAGACCATAACCGCAGCTAACGTGTTAATGAGCAAGGCTGAGGTTTGTTTCAGAGAGGTTTTCTTATCACTTTTCTTTTATGGGTGATAAATATTCAGGACGCATTCATTATAATTTTTTTTAATTTAGGAGGTCCTGGGTGGCGGTCATAAATAGGCTTGATAGTGACAAAACTATTTTATTGGAAGCCGACGTTTCGACCCGACTTTGCAGGTCTTCTTCATGGCTAGAACGGACAAGATAAAAAAAGATAGAGAATTGTGGAAGTTACATAATATTTAGAGAAAAAATTATAAACAATGTGAATAAGCTTATTAAAATTATAAACCGCAAGTACATTAAAATAAAAACAGAGTACGCTAAGTAACAAGATCCTAAACTGAAGTAAATAGATGGTAACAATTGTTGTAGTATAATATATAATATATACAAATGTGAATATACTTCTACAGATAAACAGGAGAGAATGAAAGAAAAGGAAATAATGTACTTAAAGGAATGTGGAAAAAGAAATAAAAAAGAAAACCAATAAGAAAATAAAATTAGAAGAATAAAAATAGAAACTTATTCTTATATAATTCTTTGTCTAAATATTATGTAACTTCTACAATTCTATATATTTTTGTATCTAGTCCGTTCTAGCCCTGAAGAAGACCAGCAAAGTCGGGTCGAAACGTTGGCTTTTAATAAAATAGTTTTGCCAATATTTATGACCGCCACCCCGGACCATCTCCTTCCTTTATAATGCAACGGTCAAATATTAAATATTCAGTATCAATATTAGCCCGAAAGCTTTTTTTTTCATAAAATTAACGATAATTGCTTTAAACGAAAAAAATAAAGAAACTAACTACCTATATGAAATGGTGTTTAAGTGATTCCTAAAGTCCTTTTGAATGTAATTACACGAACAATAATACATTAAGAGATATTATTAAAAATATTTTTTTCCATAAAACATGGTTATATTTTAGCATTTTGGAAGAGGGGGGACTTTACCTCCAAAGCCCCACCCCGTAGATCCGTCCGTGCCTGTAATAGACACTTTAAGAAATATTTTTAACATTAATGTGAACGACAGATTTAATCCTGACGGAGGATATTTGCAAATGGGTTTAATCATGGACAGATCTACTAGGAGGGCTATGGATTTTACCCCCAAAATGGTAAAATATAACTATGTTTTATGGAAAAAAAATATTTAAAAAAATATCTCTTAAAGTATTATTGTTCGTGATATTAAATTTAAAAGGACTTTAGGAATCACTTAAACTTCATTTCATATAGATAATTAGTTACTTTTTTTTCCAAAGTAATTATCTATTTTTATGAAAAAAAATCTTTCGGACTGAAGCTCCCCCCTCCAAATTAAATTCTGGATCCGCTAGTGATTACAGGTAAATTTACCTTAATGCCATTTAGAGTAAATGTAACTGTAATATACAGTTTTCAACTCATTAACAGGTAATGCTCTTTATACGCCCAAGAGTGAGCAAATAGGAGTAGATTTGAAACTAGAACATTTAAGAGGTGATGCTAAAACCTCAAGTGGTATCACCCTGCAATAGCCGATTGGTTAATTTTTTAAGTTGATTTTTCAATATTTCCTTATCACTTTTCTTTTGAAGATAGGTTTGAAATTTTGATTCATTCATCTGTAGTTTGCCATTTCCTTCTTAAAGATGGCAGAATTTTTTTTTTAATTATATAAAAAACCTGTTAACCTGGGTGTGTATTGTTGGTGCATTATACATTTCCAGAAGTTCGTAAGTTTTCATGAATAATTAACTTATTGACTATAGAGAAAAAAAAATAGATAAGACTTATATCTGCTGTCAATTAAAGATCGACAAAACAATTATATGAGTGGTCTTATACCAAACACGGACATCTGTCATTTCGTAAAAGTTGAGAAAAAATTTTTTGGAACATAGATCCAATTTATACTAATTTAAATGATTGTTTATCGTAATTAAATTTAAACATATCTAAAAAAAAATCATCAGAAACAGTTTGAGTTGAACCTATGCAACAAAAATTGACCTTTCCTTTTATACATTGTCAACCACTCATAATTTTTTTTTTTTTTTAAGCACACATATACCGATGAGTATTTTTCAATTGCCAAATCGTCAATTTGTAAATAGTTACATTTAACTAGATATATATTTTAATTTTTTTTTTATATTAACATTTGTTATGAACAATAAATTCAGAAATACATTAAAACCATCAGCTGTAACACCAACATTATGTATGAAATTTCATTTTATTGACCAATGTTTTACATTTTTAGATGATGTTTTATAAACAATCGTCAAGATATAACAAAGATTAACTAATGTAAAAAATATTTAATTATTTTTCTAATTCAACTTGAACATTTTTCAATAAAATCATCAGAAACAGTTTGAGTTGAACCTATGAAACAAAAATTGACTTTTTCTCTACTTTTTGAAAATGGCTTTGATATGAAGCATATATGCATTGCTTACATACATTGTCAGCCACTCATAAAAAATGTTTTTATAAGCCTACATATGCCGATTCTTGAATATATATAAAATTAATTTATTCAACGAAAAAATATTTTCCTATCTGAAATATTAAATATTATTAAATATATATTTTTTTAAAACTTGTTTACGTTATATGAACAAATATAAATTCTAAAATATATTAAAACTATCAGCTATAACAGCAACATAATATATGAAATTTCATTTTTAGATTAAATGGTGTTTTATAAATAATCGTCAAAATAAAACAAAGATTAACTTGTGTGAAAAATATTTAATAATTTTTGTGATTCAACTGGAACATTTTTAAATAGAATCATCAGAAACAGTTTGATTTGGAACTATAAAACAAAAATTGACTTTTTCTCTACTTTTCAAAAATGGAGTTGTTTACATATTGTTTACATAGATTGTCAGCCACTCATAAAAAATGTTTTTATAAGCCTACATATGCCGATTCTTGAATATATATACAATTAATTTATTCAACGAAAAAATATTTTCCTATCTGAAATATTAAATATTATTAAATATATATTTTTTAAAAACTTGTTTACGTTATATGAACAAATATAAATTCTAAAATACATTAAAACTATCAGCTATAACAGCAACATAATATATGAAATTTCATTTTTAGATTAAATGGTGTTTTATAAATAATCGTCGAGATAAACCAGAGATTAACTTATGTGAAAAATATTTAATAATTTTTGTAATTCAACTTGAAAATTTTAAAATAAAATCGTCAGAAACAGTTTGAGTTGAACCTATGAATAAAAATTGACTTTTTCTATACTTTTCAAAAATGGCTTTGATATGAAGCCTATATAAATATATATATATATATATATATATATATATATATATATATATATATATATATATATATATATATATATATATATATATATATGCATTGCTTACATAGATTGTCAGCCACTCATAAAAAATGTTTTTATAAGATACATACATACATACATATGCCGATTCCTGAACATATATATAATTAATTTATTCAACGAAAAAATATTTTCCTATCTGAAATATTAAATATATATTTTTTTAAAACTTGTTTACGTTATATGAACAAATATAAATTCTAAAATATATTAAAACTATCAGCTATAACAGCAACATAATATATAAAATTTCATTTTTAGATTAAATGGTGTTTTATAAATAATCGTCAAAATAAAAGAAAGATTAACTTGTGTGAAAAATATTTAATAATTTTTGTGATTCAACTGGAACATTTTTAAATAGAATCATCAGAAACAGTTTGATTGGGAACTATAAAACAAAAATTGAATTTTTCTGTATATTCTGAAAAAATGTCGGTCTTTGGTATGAAACCACGGGTATGGAATATTGTCTTAAATAATGTTTATTAAATTTTTTTAAAAAAAAATTCTTGGGAGGGGGGATAGCTCTCGCATACGACTGGTAATCTCTATTCTATTCGGTGTAACTTGAGCGAACTTAAACTCCTCCTATAGAACGCTGGCTACGATGTCATATCTAAGGATGAGGTACTCACTTTTGCTGTCGGTGGACGCGCTAACCGCTGCGGCCTGACTGGAGGTTCCCATCCCCCACTTCCTGGGCGGCCGTTGCCATTGGCGACCTCCACTCCTCGCCGGTCAGGGGTCGTGTCCAGCTGATCTTGAACCGATGAGGGTTCAGCTAGTTCAAGATCAGCTGGACATTTAGCACTTGGCATTGAGAACATATGTTTTTTTTTTAAACATAATTACTTAATCTACTTAAAGTTTGATTTCGTGGAACGAATTTTATACCACGCAGGCTTAAGCCTTTGTTATGGAATACACTCTACACACTGTAAGTTTCCAAATTCCAACGACTATCTGTAGGTATTGAATCAAAATAATTACAATAAAACTGAATGAAACACATTTGATGTTTTAGGAAGGAAATACATTTGAACATAGAATGTAATGTAATAGAATTCTTATCTATTTAATAGAATTACATAGATTGTAATGTAATAGAATTCTTATTAATTTGTCATTTGAATACTGAAATGCGCGAATTATTCGAACGGGACAACTATTATTATTCCCAAATATATTATTACAGTAAGACTCGAAATCGGTTTCGTACCAAATATAAGCTCCTGTCATGCTCAATACATGATGGGTTACCGTTGGATTCAGAATTTCACGGGGGGTTAGCGAATCATATTTCTTCACTTTTGTTTTTCTTTGTAAAATAAATAAAGTCGATACAAATATTTTGCTAGGCTTCAATACTGGAACATGGTTAGGTCTGGGACGTGGACAAATTGGGCTTTGAAGATTTTGATGCGTACAGCATCCTTCGGAACTGTCGGATCCTGCGTTTTTAAGCCCAAAAACGTATTATTTTCGAGATAACACAAGGCATAGGGTTCGCATCCACACAACCTTACGTTAATTGTAGTATTGTCATTGAATACATGTCTCATTTCGTCGACTTGAGGTCTCTATAATCGAGAGAGGAGGAGTTTATATTATTTATCGAAGGTTTTTTTTGTGGGTAAGCCACATCATCGTTAATTCTTCACCAAACCCCAAGATTGAGCCACCAGTTTCGAAGGTTTCCTTCTCCTTCAGGCGGGCAAAATAGTCCAATCACTACGAAAATTCAGGCAAAAAGTAATGAAAGAAAAAACATTTTATTTGCGAATAACTCAAAAATTACACACTTTTCCCATTATGGTTATGTCCACGATTACATAAAAGATTGACTAAATTCCCTACAAAAGGAAAAAAAAAAATCATCGTAATCGATAAGAAATTTTTCCAATAGTTTTTTTTTTCTATTTATTATTTATTTTTTCTTATTTTCCATTAATATTTATTAAGAGAGCTCTATTATAACCCATTTCATTGTATATGGCATATAGCTAAAGTATGAGTAGACGTTGAAACAATTTTTAGTGACGTTCAGACGTTGAAAATAAAACCGAAGGAAGAAGTGGGTTGAAATATTTTTTTAAGGGAAAACAGAGTTGAGATTTGTACTTCGCATCTCGATAAAGCCTCAAATACGATTTGTATAGAATTCAAAATATATCATATTTTTTTTTTGGAATCATATCGGAACCAACCCTCTCCCCTTCGATTTTGAAGAAAGAAAAGAAACTTTATTTCCGAATAACTAAAAAATTACTCACTTTTCCCTATGGTTATGTCCATGATTATAGAAAAGATTTATAAAATCTCTACAAAAGGAAAAAAAAAAAAATCATCGAAATCACACAATTTTTAGCAAAGATACAGCTTATTAAAATTTGTAAACATGTTGGTTCCAAACATTAAAGGAGTGTTAAATTAATTTTTGTTTCCTTTGTCGATTATATTTAACGATAAATCGATTATATTTATTGATTTCTTTATCTTTAGATACGTTGCATTATTCTATTTTCTTATTAATTTGGCATTTGATCACTTAACAATATGCTGTGTGAATTTTTTCGCACGAGCTTACTATTATTACACACAGGAATAATTATATTTCCTTGATGTCGGCTTATACGTTAAGATGGATAAATTATTTTATGTGAGAGATCTTACTGGGATCAGGGATATGCCAGTGTTTTATTTAAAACCAATAATTGGTTATGCGAATACTTTTGACAGCTAGTATATGTTGATGGCAGCTATGTACCAGCTATATACCAGTTCAAATCAAATTATATTCATACTCACCATAACAATTCAATTATTGAAGTTAATTGTTTCTGTATGCAGTAATATTACATATCACGCTAACAAGCCAATTAAATTGACCACGCTTATACATTACGTCCCTTTGCAGTTTATGTATTTCATTATAACATTACCCAGGAATTTTATGCTAATGTAATGGTTTTTATATCCACAGCGTATAATAAACTCATTTTATTATTTTATTTTTCGAAACTTGAATATATTGGTTCTAGCAAAATTGAGTAAATCTCAAAAACTGTCGGCAAGTAATTCAGTACAGTTTCCTCGTAATTTCTATTTCAATCCCTCCAGAAATGACGTGGGCGAACCTCCTAAACAACATGACAAGTTAATGTTCACTTAACATATTAATTACAACATTAATGATGAACACATAACGGAGGACTCATCAAGTTTTGAAAATGACCCTTAGTATGGTCGAAACGTCAAATTAATGCGTAATAATAAAATGTTGGTGAAAAATTGCCTAAATTATTGTGAAGAATAAAAAATATTTTAATATGTTGTTTCGACGTGTTTTTAGAATACATATTAATTCCTCTATTTATTAGTTTATTTAATTTCTTTTCGTCCAATATTCCTAAAATCGCCATTTCTGGCATACGAGTGTGGGGTACATCCAATGAAGTGAGTTTAAGTTTGAGTGAGTTAAGTTTATCCAAGGCCGATAAATCTTCCTTCACCCCTCCTAATTTATTTTATTCCTCTCAACTTCTCAAAAACAGTTCAAACTAAAGTAGAATTTGAATATTCGTAGATTATATACCATTACACATCCTGTGGTCTGTTCCATGATTCCACATGTCGTTTGATTTTAAACTTTTCATTTTGAAAATTCATCTCTTAAAAATTGAAAACTTCATCAAAAAGTGCCCATCTCATTAATTTTGATAGCGCAACTTGCGCCATAAAAAACCCTTTCTCGCCACCCCTGGTCTGCCACTACATAAATTAGTTGAGTATATATATAGTTATAGAAAAAACTGAATTATACTATTTTTTTTTTCAGACGATCTTCTTGTATAACGAAAGGCTATGATACTGAATACACAATTTTGACAAAAAAAGTAAGGAGAAAATAATTTTTTTTTAAATAATTAATTTAAGTTTGTAAATTATACAATACATAACGACTTAAACACCCCAACAGTAAAATCCTACATCCATGAGGAATACACTACATTTCATTCTTCAACCCAAAATCACTCTAATCCTCTGGTTCTTTCTATCTCCTGCTCCCTGTTACCTGAACAACGCAGATTAAGAAGAAAGTGGCCAAGAGTTCTACTATATCAATAAAAACAAAATCAAGTAAATACGCCATAAATTCAACAAATTTGCTAGATGTGTAGCCACACAGGTGCAAATTGCATAGAATATAAATAAATAAAATAAGTTTGCCAATTAAATTAATTAAATAAATTTAAATCCGTTAACTGTAACTGATAAAAAAATATATATATGAAATTTTGCAGCTTTAATTTTTTTATAATGCTTCCGGAAAAAAGTGATTTTTATCAAAAAGCGGATGGGATAGGGATGGGGACTTTTAAAGCATTACCTCCTAAGTATCTCAACAAATTACACAATTTAAATGCTTGTCCATTTTCCATGCATTCTACAATATAAACCTCTTCTTTTAATTACAATGTATTAATTATAAAAGAAAACTATACTTTGTCCTTGTTTTTATAATTATTATTTTTCAAACGTTGTTTTATTGAACTAAAATAATAGTTGGTGTAGTGATGGTTGACCGTGATAATTATATCATATTCATATTAATGAGGAGTTGGGCAGGGAGTGCGGTCAAATAAATACTATTTTAAAAATTTAGTATTTATTTAACCGCATCCTCCAACTAACTCCTTCTCATAAACTAATAGTTAACTATATAAACTCTAAGAAAAAAATAATCACTAATCTTAAAATTGTTATAAAAACACTTAAGAATGACACAGCTGCTCTCTGTTGGAGAGTTTTAGAAACACAAATACATCCATTTAAAGATTTATTTTTTTAAATTAAACAAATAATTATGAAGAAAGAAAGAATTAGAAATGGTTAGTTTAATTTGTTTCTAAAATTTAATTATTGAATAATAAAACGTTTTATAAAAAATATAAAATAAAACAGAAGCAAAGTAACAACTAAATAATAACCTGAAAGTATAAATAATAAATAAAGCAAAATATCATTTTTTGTTTTTATTTTGTGGCTTTATGCATGGGCATATTAACCAATATACCAATTCATATTTCATACCAATCAATTCATATCCTTAACAGTTTATGTTATTAGAAGTGATAAGGTTATATAAGGTATAAATAATTTTTGGTCTATGAGTTAGTCTAAGGATAGTAGGAATTGTTGTAGGGAGAGGAATATTGTTTTTGATGAGAAAATGGTAGAAAGAACACAGTCTATGGATGTATTTGGACAGGAAACGAGAACATGGTTTTCATTGGCTATTGAGGAATGGTCACAGGAGCAATAAGGGTAGTCCGAGATGTTTATTTGAAAGAGATGGAATGGTAGGACATTGTGGTTGATGCGAAGACATGAAACGAAAACACATACATACATACTGTATATACTATTTAAAATCAGGCAAGTGAACTCCAAGGAAGGCTTTTCTGCAAATATGAAATGAAAAGCAAGACTCTAGGAGATCCCTGCGCTACTCTCTCAATCACGTCACCAGTACTAAAGGCAGTGGAGATTGATTGAGAGTGCTTTAGCCTCTCATAACCTAGCATAGTGTTAAATTTAAATATAACATTTATACTTTTGAGATATTTCTGATTATTTTAAAAAGGTTTTGTCACTGTCATAAATCATAAACTGATAAAGCTATACCAATTATTTAAACATAAATATTACATTATTACATAAGACTAATGATTATTTTATTGAATAAATGAAAATCTTGTAAAATTATTTAAAATCATACGATGGACCATTTCAATTTCAGTACCTTTATTTATTCTATTTCATTAGCCGTGGAGCGACCCTGGATTAGGAGACCCTCCTTGGGCATTCCCTGCCTCTATAAAGTGGGTAATTAATTAAGGGGAAAAACCTGGCGGTTGAGGTTGATCTCAGTCAAATCACCCCCTTGCACAACCGTTGACTAAGAAACAGTATTTACCCTAAATCGTACTCAACCCAAGACCCTTCATGGGTTGTAGCGGCACAGGTTTTTTTGTTTTGTTTTTTAATTATAATAAACGTTGTTAAATTAATGTTTCAATGAACCTATTCTTACTTGTTTTCAAACTTTTGTATCAGAGATCTTTTTTTATGATCATAACGTTTAAAATAAATATATTTCTTACAAGCTTTAGTTTTATTTTAAGGTAAAAGTACCAATAATAGCTACTGTACCAGTAATGGACAGTTTTAAATTAATTAAGTAATAAGAAGCTTTATTGACTCGATAGAGAGTGGAAATACAAGTAGATTTAAAGCTGGAATACTTAACACATAATCGTCTGCATGATGAAAATTCATCATTTTTCAATCACCATTAGCAAAATGATGAAAATTCGTCATTTATGTATTACAGCCAATAATTCTTGTTCTTTATAATTCTAAATAAATTAAATTCTAATTTTTATGTTCGATCCTCAGCCGCGTGAGGACGAACTCTTCTCTACGACTGCTGCATTTGGAGCTACTCCATGGTTTCACCTCTTTCTTTATTGTCTTTAATTTGCTAGGTGCGCTGTTTTCCCGTTTGTGAATGGTAGTCCAAAAAATTACTGGACTAATATGCATTAAAAGGGTGATGCCTGAACCTCAAGTTATATCGTGCAACAATAGCCGATTGGTAGTTGATTTATTAATGGTGCAAAGCTGGGCGTTTGTTTCAGGGAGGTTTTCATATAACGTTTATTTAGGAGATAAGTTTGAATTTTTGATTAATTCATCTGTTGTTTGCCATTTCTTAGTTTGAAACTACCCAGAATTTATTTATATTTTAAAATTATTTTATATTCAACAATTTACTGATGGGCAGGTGGTAGTGAATGACGATGAAGATGTCAACTACGTGCTCCTGGAGGAGTATAGAGCATGAAGTATGGAGGTGAATATGGAAAACACGAAGTATATGTCATTTAACAGGAACGTAAGAAGCCTTATCATTGAAAAATTGAGAATTACCAAAAATCCGTGAATTTAAATATCTTGGTAGATGGATTACTGAGGATGGAAGCTCCTCCAAAGACATCATGGAAAGATCACAAAAGGAAGTCGGATAATTGGGACACTAAATTATGTGTTATGAAACAAGCAAGTAAGTTTCCAAATAAAAAAACAAAACAAATAACATTTCTTTTTAGGAATTGTCACTCTATACACATCTGAAATGTGGATGATCACCAAAAAGGAGACCAGGGTACTATCATCGGAGATGCTGTTGTGCCATTCCAGACTGCGGCAAATTCCCAACAAAAATATTAGGTGGAATGTTCAGCAGGAAACAACTATACTCTACACCACGTACAGAGAATGACGGAGAATCGAAGCCAAAATTAACCACTCTTTATTAACCGATAGAAAGATGAAACCAAGGAAGAAATGGTTGCAGGATGTGGAAAAACGCATGAGATCTTCGAGAGAGAGACTGGCTTGATCGAAAGAAGTGGCAAAAACTTTTGGATGCGATAAGCAACTAAGTTGTGAAAAAATGTAATCAATTAATTATTTTTTTAATTATATAAAATACATATTGACCACAAAACCTAAGTGTCTATTAGTGATGCTAAATATGCTGTCAGAATTTCCTTTTTTTTTTTTTTTAAGAAGTTTTTTTTTTTTGCATTTAGAAGTTTTTCATGAATAATTAACTAATTGACTGAAAGGAAAAACGAAATCATAAAAGACTAAAATTGCTGACAGTTAACCCAATTTGCTAAGGCCTACCATCAGAACAAAAGATGTACGTAGTTCACAATAATATTAAAAATTTCTATAAAGTGTCTATTACCAATAGATTTACCTTATAGTCATATAAAAATTCATTACTAACTAATGGTGTGTAATGAGGTAAATAATTCAATCTGTGTAATGTAAGGAAAAAATAATAATACAAACATAAAAAATTAATTTATTTAATATTCTAAACAAATTGTTTATTAAAAAAATTACATTATTTAAAGGCAGTAATAATGTTTAAGAAAGACTTCAAGTTTTTAATACACTCTATAGGTACATAATCTTATCATATAACTATATTAGTCTTTTCTAGTTTTTAAATATATTTTACATTCTTTTTCTCTTTTAATATCGCAGATATTACATAACAGAGCCACTATATTCACAATTGTTATTAAAATAACAAAAAATAATAATAATAAAGCTTTCTTCCTTTACAGACTGGACTGCCTTAGAGAGATAATAAATTTGTACGAAAATATATAAAAAGTTTTAAAACTCTTATAAAATTGAAAAATAATATGAATAAACAATAAAATAAAGTTAAGAGAAATAATTTAAACTTTTGGGTTGGCAGGAGGCGTCCAACCACCCAGTTCTCTTTCAAGGGCTCGGGCGACGGCCAAACTGAGCCTATCGTGATGGGGTGTTGCTGCGATCTATATAACAAACAAATTAAAACATTATTAATTCTTTAAATAAAAAATATATTTCTGTTAAGTAGAAATGAGTTTTATAAATATAAAATTGTAACATTTTTTTTTATTTTAATGAAATTTACAACTGTATTACATGAAAAATACAAGTAAATGTGACATTGGTAACGTGACATGCACAACATGAAGAGAAAATACCCATTGGTAGAATTCAAATTAAAGCTTCTATATTAGAAGGTCCCGAGGCCATCTTCTTTTCAGATGCCTCGGAGCTTTATCAGGGATCGAGGAGGAAGCAAGGTTTGAAACGAGAGTGTTCGGATGGTTCTGCAGTTTGTTATGGAAGGATAGGTATCTGGATTGGGCCAAATCGGAAACATATGAAACATTAAGGTCCTTATGGATGATTTTATTTGTGACAAAATAAGGAGCACTGAGGATTTTACGAAAGATTTTGGATTGTAAGGATTGGATGCGAGAGGAATTCGATGGTTTAGTGGAGCCCCAAAGCTCAATTCCGTAAGTCCAAATAGGTCTTATTATTGTCAAATATATGAGTCTAACTACAACATTAATAATGATCACATGAGCCTTTCTATTGACAGAATGACTAACTCCAATCTCAATATTTTTTATTATTAATTTTAGTGATAGTTCTGGTGGAAAAATGTATACCGCTATTAACTGTTCTATAATTCAACACTTACTCTGGAATCAATTTACTCGCTGTCTGTACAGATATTATAAATTTTCCAGCTATAAATATCACTAAAATGACTTTAATAAAAAAATATTGAAATTGGAGTTAGTCATTCTGTCAACTGAAAGGCTCATATATGTCCCAGTATGCAAAGGCATATGTATCAAGCGCTGGTAGTACTAGTGTACTTTACACTGCGATAAAGTGAATTTATGGTTCACTTAATTTATCTTTTTTTTTTTTTTTTTTGGGAGGGAGGGGGTCCTCCCCTTCCTCACCTTTAAGGCTATACGAGGTTTTCCTGGGCGGGGATTTAAAAGACTCTCCCAGCACTGGGATGCGAACTCATGGTGCTATGCACATACATTAGCCCGTTCGGCCACCCCGCCCACCACACTTCATTTATCTTGTAAATTTTATAGTTTTTACATGAGTAATTAAACTAAAAAAAAGAAGAAAAGGAAAAACTCACCTGTATACCAATTGGTATTCCTTCCCTTGTCATTCCTACGGGACACTGGGTAACGGGCATACCAAGGACGTTGAAAATAGAAAGATAAGAAATATCCAGGATCTTCGAACACAGGCGGTTGTGCATTGGAGCTTCTTCAGAAAATGAAGGATACAGCAGGACTGCATCATTACCCAAAAGATCCTAGGAAATATAAAAATTTAAATATAATTTGTCTTGTTAAATGTAATTTTACTATTTCATTGTTTGCTTTGATAAATATAAATGTAATGTGGACATACAATAAAGAGCTGACAAGTTGATATGAACAAGAGAGAGAAAAAATAAGCACATAAGGTAGTAAAAATAAGCACATCCCCCAGAAAAGTCACGAAAAAAATTTAAGAAAAAGAAACTTTATTTTCATATAACTCAAAAACTATACAATTTATGGTAATTATACCCATTATTATTAGAAAGTTTCCGAATCATCTTCAAATAAACAAAAAATTACATGTTGATAGTTATAACCTTAATTTTATTGATTGTTAAAAGATAGTATTAGGATCACAAAAAGTATTGGCACTCTTAACTTTTTCCAGGTTTCATTCTAAAATAATCCAAAATTGATTTTCTAAACATTTTTCGTTGACAAAAGATATAGAAAAATACATAATGGAATAATAAAAATTTTAATTTATTTAATTAAAAAATTCAGTAAATGAAAAATCACTTTAACACTTTATGTAGCAAACTTTAATTTGAGCTTTATTTCATGAACTGGATATTTATTAATAATTTGTCGTCATACTATAGGCATCTATAACATCCTGGAATCTTCTTGGTATCGACAAAACAAAATTTTGAATTTTCTGGTTTCCAATTTGTAACCAAAATTAAGGAAGCAGTGAAAAAAAAACAACAACTCTACTCTCTTTTGTTTCCTGAGCCAGATGACTAATTCATATTTTAGCATGTGCATGTGCTCTTATATCTTAGATCTCTTGTATCTTGACTATCTTTTCTAGATGTTTAGATGTGGCATGCCATAATATTGTATATAGAATAAGTATCTTTTTTTTGTTATTTGTATTATCTCTATTATCTTAAATATCTTCTTTTTTAACTTTAATTGTATATTATAATTATGTTTGAATTCTATCTTTTTTCTTGTATTTTATTTCTTTTTATTGTACATAGTATTAATTCTGTAAATGTTTCTTTCTGTAAATAGATCTGTTAATCTTTTTGCTGCTTTATAAAACCCTAACCCCTTCTCACCTGAGCTAGCATGGTAGAGTAAATATGTAATGATGGCCATTAAAGGGTAAGTACTTTATGTTTTCTAGATTTATCTCTTTAGAGATGAAAGGCTGGTAAGCCAGGCGCCCAACAAATATAAAAGGTTAGCAGATCTATTTACAGAAAGAAATATTTACAGAATTAATACTATGTACAATAAAAAGAAATAAAATACAATCAAAAAGAGAGAATTTAAACATAATTACTATATACAATTAAAGATAAAAAGGAAGATAATAAAAATAACAAAAAAAAAAAAAGATACTTATTCTATATACAATAGCATGTGCATGTACTCTTACATCTTATTGTATCTTGACTATCTTTTCTAGATGTTTGGATGTGGCATGCCATTTTATTTTATGCCATTCCTCTGACAAAGTTTATTTTAAATAACTTTTAAAGAAATTTTATTTTTCTTACTTTCAACAGGTACCATAGATCTTTAAAGCATTTATATCTGGAGACAGTGGTAGCATTTAAAATTGGCTGGGGACATGTACAGCATTCATTCTTTTGTTTTATTTAGCATGTGCTAGCCGTCATTGTTTGGTTGGAAGATAAATGCATCTTTGGTCTTCAGATTTTTGGCTCTACTTGTTAAATTACGTTGCAAAATGGCAACATATAGTTTAGCATTCATAATATTGTCAATAAAGGTTACGTTTCCAACGCCATGCCCTCCCAAACCTTCCATTTCGATGTTTTACAGGAGGCCTCACACGTCGAGTTTAAAACTCAATGTCAAGTTTCCTCCAAACAAACTTGTGGCCTTTAGAGTGGAATATGTTAAACTTACTTTTATCTGAAAAGATAAAATTTTTCTAAAATTCTGGATCTATATTAAATAAACTTTTGGCAAACTCAAATCTTTTCTTGCGGTTTACCTCTGTAATAAAAGATTTTTTCTTTAGAATCTATCATAATAATAATATCTATGAATTATATTTCTAACCTCTTCTACTATCTCGACAGCTGATAAAGTGTCAGTTTGCTCAACAATATGATGGATATTCCTTTGTGACCTCTCATTACATTTTAATGGCCTCTCTGAACGGCTTATGTTTAAAACTTTCTAAACTTTTGTACAATATTTTGAACACTGCTATAACTAATTTCTTATTCATTCGCTATTTGTCGGAAGCTAAGTCCATTAGAATATAATTTAATGGTGTGTTTTTTTTAACTGACACAATATTCACTGGTTTTACCCATTTTGTTATGGAAAATACACAGCAAAAACTAATTCTTATTATTTTCATAGTACTAACATCAATCCTCATTTCTCATTTCTTGGAATAAAAAGTATTAATTTGTTTTGACTGTAGCTAATAGTTAACATTTAAAACTGTGCCAATACTTTTTCGACCCTCAAAATTTACTCTTTACGTTTACTTTAAACATAGCTTTTAAACTCCAAACATTTATTGCTTTTAAAATATAATTCAACAAAGTTCATTTTGTTATAAAAATATTATTCCTGGAATTATATTAATCCTATTGAGATCCACTGTATAAAACTATTCATTAATAGTTCTTTTGATAAATTATCTTTTAAATTTATCCTCCTAACTCCTAGAATAGGGAATATAACTTCATTATACAATATTTAACTTTTATAATTAGTAAAAATTAATTTAAAATATAATAATCCATTACCGTGACAGTTGTCTGTATCTTTGTGACTTTCTGTCGTACCAAACCCCTAACATTCTCAGGAGTAAGATCCAGAAGCTTTTTCAGAGGTCCAAAGAGGATGCAAGACATGGAAGCAGATGATCGAAACAATAGTTTCCTCAGTATGACTTCGACCATTCGAACCCAACCCCAATCCTGAAATACATAAAAAAAAAAAAATGGCATAATTATAAAATAAACATTAACTAAATAATAATTTGTATTTAATATTTGAATGCTTATATTGGAAGTTGAAGTAATAAATACATTCTAAAGTGTTTTCCAATAAATAATAAAACTCATATAAAATAGAAAAGAAATGTATATGGAAATAAATTTTTATGATTGTTATGAAATATGTAGTATTAGTTGAAACCAAATTGTTAAACTAATAATATAACAGTATTACAATTAGAGATATCTTTTAGTTAAATGATAGAGAGATATAAATAATACTTACATCTGGTTTATCATCATTAGTCTGGTAAACATTTTCTATTCCACTCATTTGCAAAATCTGAGAATTAAGAAACACAGAATCTTGGAATTCTGTGAGCTTTATCTGTAAAAAATTATTGAAAATAGTTGTATTAAGGAAAACTTAGAACATAGAACACACAATTTAATATTGAAATATGTTTAGTTCATAAGTTACTTAAATCATTTTATTATATTTACAGTTTGATTTTATGTCTAAATCAAACTAAAGTCCAATAAAAAGAAAGACAACTCAGTTCTTGATCAAGACAACACATTCTTTAATCTTTTGGCTGTCAAATGGGATATTGATAAATGATTTAATTTTATTTAACTGTAAATTTAACTGGGAAAAATAATTGTTTATTTTTCTACTTTGTTATTTCGTATCTATATTCTATTTTATATTGAAGGAAAACAACCTTCTTTTTTTTTATATATGAGATACAGTATATGATGTTTTAGACAACTCCAACAGAATTTTTAAAATTTAATATATAGTATTTTTAAAGCTATAAAGGTGAGCAAAGAAACTTTATGATCTTAATACACACAACTTAAGAATAAAATAGTCTTTCTGTTTTTTAATATTTAAAAAAAAATTATAACTTCTAGATTTTTATTTTGAAAATATCATTTTAATATTATGATTGTTACTTGTTTATTTGAAATGCCTAATGTATATTTCATATTTATTATATTCCTGTGTTTGTAATTTTATACTCTTCACAAAAACATAAGAATCGCCTAATATCAAAGACAAAGTTGAGAAAAAGCCAATTTCCTGTAACATAGCTTAAATTCTAAAGATTTTTTTCATGATTCAATTTGAGCATTCTTAAATGAAATCACCTGAAACAGTTTTAGTTGAACCTATAAAACAAAAATTGACTTTTCCTCTACTTTTTAAAAATGACAGGTTTCTGTCTTTGATATGAAGCCACTCATATGTTTATTGTTTACTTAAATAACAGCCATTCATAAGAATTTTTTAAAATTAAATCTATCTTTATATCATGAGCACACATATGCCGATAAGTATTTTTTCAATTGCCAATTTAAGAATATATATAAATGAAACAAAATTTCCAGGACTTTCAGCCAAGATATTTTTATTAGGTTAGCCGACATTTCGACCCATACATGTGGGGTTCATCCTCAGGGCTAAAAATTACAAACTATTAAATAACATCAGTAAAATAATACATATAAAAGTGTAATAGTTATTGTTATTCTGCACTTTTATATGAATTATTTTACTGATGTTATTTTATATTTTGCAATTTTTAGCCCTGAGGATGACCGTCATGTAGGGGTCGAAACATCGGCTAATGTATTAAAAATATCTTGTCTTAAAGTCCTGAAAATTTTGTTTTATCCAAATAATTGATCAATTGACTATTTACCCATCTCTGATGAATAAATATAATTAATTCATTACAAAAAATATTTTCATATTTGAATATTAACTATTAAAAAATAAATATTTAAAAAAAAAAATTGTGTTTTTCGAACAAATATAAATTCTAAAATACTTTAAAATTATCAGCTATAACACCAACGTAATATATCAAATTTCCTTTTTTTGACTAGTGTTACATTATTAGATTAACTTATATGAAAAATATCTATTGATTATTAATTTCTCCTTCATGTGCAAAAAAATACCACATTTCTCAGAAAAAAATCAGGAAAAATATTTATGAAGAAAATGAAATTGATTTGCATGTAACTCAAAAATTATGTCCACTTTTAGATGGATTATATACATGTTAATTCGGAAGGCTTCTAAAATTCCTACAAAATAAAAATAAATAAATAAAAGTTGGATTATTTTTAGCAAAGATCTAATATTTTGAATCAAAATTAAGGGTCTTGTTTAGATTAGGCCAGGGATTTTTTAATGATATTTAGTAACAGTTGTTATGAAACTTGATACCATTGATATAGAAATAAAATCAAATGTTTAAATATTATTAAATTTAGTATTGTTTGTGTAATTGCGGTTATAAAGTGATAACACGATAAATATTTTTGAAGATTACTATTTATGCAAAGAAGAAAAGAATAGGAACGAGTCAGGATTTTCTTTGAAGAAAGAGGAATTTTACCTAAGGAAAGTTATTGTAAAAAAGGCCACATTATGAAATTGTATGAAGATAAGAAAAAATATAAGTGCAACAAAAGGCAATGCCTATATGAATGTGGCATGTATACGGGTAAGTGGCTATGTGACAGCAGGTTACCGTTAAGTAAAGCCCTTTTATTCATTTACTAATGGGCAAAGGAATATATGAAGTTTAAATTCTGTTCCAAAGAATTCAATACGAGCTTCGCTACAATTGTAGATTGGAAAAATTATCTGCAGGAGGTGTGCGCAGCTGGCTTGCTATAATATTCCATTGTTATTGGAAAGAAAGGACTGACATTTGAGAAAGACGAGTCCTGTTTTCCTTCTCGAAAGTATAATGTAGGATACAACTATCCACAGCAATGGGTGTTTGGCAGGATCTGTGAAGCTAAAGAGTGTTTTTTGTACACAGTGCTCGATAGGAGAAGAGAAACCCTGGAGGAGTGCATAAGAACATAAATCAGACCGGGTTCCATTATAATGTCTGACCTGTGAAGTCCTATAGTGGGATAGAAGGAATGATTGGGAAGAATTACAGGCATTGTACTGTAAATCACTCCAAAAATTTTGTCTACCAAGAGACTGGTGCTCACACTCAAAGAGTTGAGTCTATGTTAGCGAAGGCCAAAAGGAGAAACAAAAAGGAATGTAGGACTCATCGCTCTGTGTTAGACTCGTATTTATGTGAGTTCATGAGGAGGCAGAGAAACTCAAATGAAGAAGTTTTTGATAAAATCCTTAAGGACATAGTAGAACTTTGGTCTCCAGATGTACCTGGAGTAACTGATTAGAAGTATGTTAATGTTTTTGGTTATGTATAAAAAGTTCATAATAAATAAATCATATGTTTCTTTAACCCATATTTTTTAATTTATCAACAAGTAACTGTTACTAGATAAAATAACTGGCGGACCTAATCTAAACAAGATCCGAAATTAATTCTACCTTTTCATAATAAATTGCACTAACATCTTCCTACATTATATGTATGGCTCAGTTCAAAATTGAAACTACTAAAAAATCAATGGTTTTCAGTTTTCTTATGATACTTATGGCCTGTAATCTGTTCTTCTTAGTACAAAAAGGCACCATTCAAAATGCCTTCATCATCAGTGTAAAAGTTGATGTTTCACAAAGGGATATCTTTTTTTTTCCCTCCCCTCCATAATTTATTACTGAGGTAACTAAAATTATGATTAGATAGGCATTGATGACCTTGGAATTTTACATCTCGTAAGTTCTAAATAACAACAAAAACTATGGAGTATTTCAATTAATTTTTAAGTTTGTTTAAAACATTTGAGTTAGTCAATCTCAAAACCTTTTTTTACTATTGAATTATTTCAATTTTGAACTGAGGCATTTATACTGCCATTTGCCCACTGACCAATTACTACACAAATATTTCGTACAGACCTACTATCAATAGATATTTTTTAATTATGAAATAACTATTCTTAATTGAAATGAAACTATTTCACTTTTTACCACACAGTTTTATTTTAAGGAATTTTTTAATTTTTTATTTATAATTTCATATTGAATGTTAACACAAGGTTTGTGCTTGTATGTGTTTTTCGTTTTCTTCGGACTAAAATGTGAAATTTCATTCTATCTTCAGATTGTTTCTGCTGTATACATAAATTATTATGAGATAATTAATAATTAAATAAACATTTGTTAAAGTATTCATTACATTCATTTAATATAATATATAATTATAAAATAAAACACTTACTTCTTCAACTTGACATTGATACTTATCCCTCAAAGTGGAAATGGCTAGACCAATGGCTCTTACACACTCAACATTCGGAACTGTTTGCAAAATGGAATTAGGACCTTCACCATACATGAAGTAAATTTTCAGTTTGCTCACATCGACCTATAACATTAAAAAAACATGTATATATTTTATACATATTTTTTTTCTTATTATTACTATTGTATTAATTATCTTTTGGGAGTCGAGACAAGAATCGGGTTCGAGGGAGAGGGGAGGGGGGAAGAATCATATATCAATTAATATTATTTACCCTGACAAAGCTCAATTATTATCTGTCAAAAGAAATAAATTTTGGTTCAGGATATTTCAACATAAGTAGCCTGAAAATTATCTATCATGATACATAATTTCATTAAGGTAAATTTCAAGAAAAAGTTGAGATAATATGAAATATTTTAAACTTACATCTTCATCCAGCCTCAACTTTCCAACCTTGCTCTTCTCAGTGATCATATTTTCCAACATCAGCGGTAAATCTTCAGCGTACCTCGTGAGTGGCCCGAGTGTGAAATAGTAGTCCCACATTGGATCGGTGCTAGTCGGAACGTGTCCATCGTTGGGAACATATCCTAAATATCGAAACATATATTAATTATAATCTTTAATAAAACTTATTATTAATGAGAAAAGATAACATTATCATTATTTATAAATAGTATTTTTAAATTGACATGTAATTTATGAAATACTATACTATTAATTGAATTTTAGAATAGAATAGAATCTTTATTCTGGGACCAAGTCCCTTAAGAATAACAATGCTGCTCATACAAATTACAATAAAGAATAATTAAAATATAAGTAATAAAATAAGTATAGACAGTTATACTCCTGTAAAATAATTTTACAGGAGAATAAATAAAAACACTGTCCTTTTTTTTTTTCTGAATACTTTCCACTGTAATACTTTTTATAAATTTATTTTAAATAATTAAATTTAATAAAAGACCTTTTATTGTAAACGTTAACTGGTAAATAATGCTTTGACCAAATAATTCTTAATTTTAGAATAATTATTTTGATACATAATATTGGTTAAATAGTTGACTGTCGTGAATAATGAAGAGAAGAATAGTTAGGGTGATCAGTCAAATAAGAAGGCAAAATAAATGATTTATCTTGTCATTTGCCGTAAATCGAAGCAATGATTGCTTGATTGTTAATTAATTGATTGCTTCGATTTACCTCATAGCAGTCAGCCCTGATGATGGCCTGAACTTCAGGTTGAAACATCGGCAAATGACAAAATAAATATTATCATTTATTTTTCCTTCTTATTTGACTGATCACCCCAACTATTCTTCTCTTAATTATTTTGATAATTTTAATTAAATAATTCACATTTGGATTAGTATATTCTTGTTATTTTCTTCTAAATAATATATATAATTATAAAAATGATTTGTAATTCTACATTTTTTTTAAATCTTAAAAAAAAATATTTAGGGTGAAGGCACCAGTTATATACAGGGTGGACAGGTTGGACTTTAAATGTAAACAATAACCTTCCTTGTTGATTTAAAGGTTCCAGTTTTTTCTAGATTGAAGAACAATGCTCTATATTGAGAACTAGAAGAACAAAGTTCTCAAAACAAAATTTTAAAATGCCTATCATTGTTGTTTCTATGGTGATCTTGAGATCAGTGTGTTTCGTACCTTCCTACTAACAGTTTTGCTAAGAGTAAGTTGAACATTTATGTTATGTTATCTTTATAGTTAAATAAAAATTTAGAATTTTACTGATGTATATCCATTACTATAACAATTGAAGTTCAGGATGTCCATCAATACAGCAAAAAGGTGTTTTGTTTTTTTAATGTAGATTTATACCTGCATAACTGAATATTTTTTCTATTTTAAAGTGCTAAATAGAAAAAGGAGACCCTAGAGATTCTAAAAGTCCAAAAAAGAAGTTCATATCTATAATAATTACGGTGGCATAAGCCAAAAATTTTCTTAGCTATGTCCATTATTGGTGCGCTTACCCTAATTGTTCTATACTTTGATTTTTCTTCTTTTTTTTTTCAAATATTCATAAAATTTGTAAAATAATTCTTCATATTAATATCATATTAGATATTATTATTTGTAAATTTGTCATAATTTTTTACAATAAAAAAGAGTAATTTAATTTATATTAAGTTGCTCCTTATCTTCTTTATCTTGCCACGTCTATGCTTTAACTTTAGATTTCAAATTTCATACATATCAGCATTTACATAAATTTTATTAAAATTTAAAACAAAAGTACAATATTCATCTTACTGTTGGAACAAATAGATGCGTATCTGGTTGGACCATATTATTGTTGTTTGTTAATTAAATTGTATTCTACTCCAAAAAAAATTAAAATAAAAGTTAGGTAAATTTAAACTATTTTATAACTTTACTTAATATTATTTTAAAAAATAGTTTAATAATGAACAATACATAATATTATAATTTATTTCAATTTTCATTAAGAATGATTGAAATGTTTTCAAAATAAAAAAATTGTTAAGGAATAAAAATATTATTTCAATAGAAAAATAAATTAAAAAATATTATTAATATTAAGAGTGTGAGTTAGCTGACTGGTAGGGCATTGAGCTTCCAATGGTCAAGGTTCCAGGTTCAAATCCTGGTTTATGGCAGATAAATTATTTATTATCATGGGCCTTAATTGTCTCTGGGGTCGGAAGACCATCCTGGGGCACACCCAGCCTCTATAAAGTGGGTACCGTTAATTAAATAATTAATTTAGAGGGAAAACTTGGCATTAGAGTGTGATTTCAGTCAAATCACTTCCTCGCACAACCGTTGACCAAGAAACAGTGCTTTCCCAATTAAATACTACTGAATACAAGGCCCCTCATCGGTTGTAGTGTTATGGGTTTTTTTTATTAACATTAAAGAATCAAGATGTTTTAATGAAAATTATTTATTAGTAGTGATATCTTGTAGCTTTAAGGAGTATTAACTCCACTTGCATTACTATTTGTTATAGAACCACTTTAATTTCTTAAAACAAAATACAAAATATTAATAAATATATGGGGAACACATGTAGGACAAATTAGTTTTTCTCAAAATAATGTGTGGTGTTGTATATTGGTTTTACCCCTACACTATTCAAATATCTTTTTAAAAAGAAATGTTTTCATAATAATCCTGGAGCCCATGGCAAAAAAGGTTTCCTACTGATTCCATATTTCATACTAAGATTTGTCTTTTTAAATTGACCATATCCATAGGCCTGATGAGAAAAATGCACGTCTAAGACAGTAAATATATACGTATATTATGTAAGCCAATGTATACATATGTATGTTGTCTTATATAAAGATTAAGAACTGTGTAATATCAAAAATTGCAAAAAGTAAGTTTTTCTGTATAGTTTGATCATTAAGTTGTAAATGATCTAGCCTTTGAATGGTTGAAGATGATATAGTAAAGTAATATATATTCTTAAAGAAAATTTAATATTAAACAACTTTCTTCCTCATAACTTTTTCATAAAATGAAAAGATAAAGAGTTGGCGAGTCAAATAATGATAAATATTCTATGCAATTTTTTTTTCCCTCAATAATAGTGAATTACGAGGACGGATATCACCGGAAGTATAGAATATATCGAAAAACTAATATAACGATTTCTATTGCAAATTTTGTTAGCTCTAATTTCACATACTACATTATTATAGATAGAATGCATACTTTCACTAGGCGAAAACCCGAAATAAAGTAAACTCGAGTTGAAATCCATGGGCATGGGTTAACTGACTATTATTTCATGTCTTAAGACTGTAAATACTATAAATTTAATGGGTTGGTAGCATTATATATCTATAAGCCCTCTCTACATATACGCTTACAACCTATTTAGGGTCTCCGATTATATGCAGTAAGATCTGCATTTTTCTCATCAGGCCTGTGGATATGATGAATTAATAAGAACAAAGCTTAGTATGAAATATGACACCGTTTTTGCCATGGGCTCCTGGATTACAAGTACTGCTGAAAGAAACATGAAGTGATATCTGCCTTCAAACTGAAATTAATATTTAGTAAAAATCCTTAAAAAGTTTTAGAAAATATTTCTGGAAATATAATTTATGGTTAACATTAAAAACATGTAATAAAAATGAAATGTAAATTGTTTTGTTAATATTGTTAGAAATTAAACTGAAAATCTAGAGACTTATTACAGACCGACTCAATGTCAAACATAATTCTAAACAATTAGCTATTTAATTTTTATATTTATGCTATACATTTATTTGTTGATGTAGCTATAAACAAACATTTATTATTATGATAATATGAATATATCACCTGGTGTTGGTTTGTGACCGAATACTCCACAAAAGAAAGCAGGAATTCTTAATGAACCACCAATATCAGAGCCCACACCGATAACCGAAGCTGCAGAAGCAAGAAGACTCACCTGGATATGAATTTTCCAAATTAATCAAACGTATATTTTAATATTATTAATAACTAATTAAATTTATTAGAATAAAAAAATTAATTTGTAATTTGACTTAGAATGAAACAAACAGTTATCAAAATCAGAATTTCATGAACAGTATCAGTAGTCATTTCTAAACATGGAACTTAAATTTTTAAAAATGTGTAGATGCACATATAATTTTATCTTAACTATAAAAATATAGAAAACACTATTAAGGTAAAATATTAGTTACAATAGAAAATTTTTAGAAAGAAAATAATCTATTTCTCAGGTTTATATCGTAGACAAAATTATAAGATACATATGAGAAGGATTTGGTCGGGGATGCAGTCAAATAAATACTATAAACTAGAATAGTATTTTATTAATTATTAATTACCTCTGCACCATTATAAGATATATAATAATAGAACTTTTTCATTCTATGAAACCAAATAATATTTTTAATGTTGAGAAACCCCGTAAGTAAAAAAAAAAATTAAATATATGTTTAAATACCAGAATGTTTGAATAATAGGTTAATATTCAATGAAATTTTAATTATAAGCCATTTGCTGAAATTTTGGACTCAATTACTCTTCTTTTGGTGTTTTTCAAATCATTGATTCACTTAACAATCAATTATTTATTTGTTCATTTGTTAACAACCTACATTGACTAAGAGCAATATAAGTTTTGGCAAGGGTAGCCATAACAAATGATTTAATAATCAATCGAAAAACATTTAACTTTGGTTCTATAATAATGTCAATAACTGAGGTAAAGTTACCTCCCCTCCAGAAGATCCACCAACAGTCCTCCTCAGATCGTAAGGGTTGTTTGTTGTTCCGTATCTGGGATTGCTGGTTTCGATATAGAGGCAGAGTTCAGGAGTGTTTGAAACCAAAAGTGGAATAGCACCAGCTTCCCTCAGACTTTCGATCACTTGAGCATCTCTTTCAGCTTTGCGTTCCTTTACTCGGCTGCGGGCTGCATTGTTACTCATTCCTGTAAAGTAAGAAAGAATTTGAGCAACAATTACTTTACCAATATTGTTTTGCTATGAACTATGAAATAATCATAGGAATTATTCTTTTATATGGAATGAAGATACGCGAGTCAACCAAGAAATCCCCCATCGGCCTTGTGGCCAGTTAAATAGATCACCTCTTGCCATAAATTCAATCTGATGAATGTCAGGAGCTAGCATGGACACTTATCATTACCTAAGAATAGTCACAATTAGAGCAAGGATATCCATTACCATTAATGGAGTGGGATAGCTCAGTGGTAGGTCACTTAACTTCCAATGCTCGAGGTCCCGGATTCAAATCCCGGCTCATGGCAGACAAATTATTAATTCTGTTTCATCGGCTGTGGGATGACTAAGGGTCTTCCTGGGGTAAGGAGACCCTCCTGGGACCCACCCAGCCTCTACAAAGTGGTTACTCTTAATTAAAATAATTAATTAAGTGAAAAACCTGGCGGTTGAGCATGCTTGTCCTATCTCCTCTCTACACAACCGTTGGTCTTGAAACAGTACTTTCTCTAAATATTGCTGAACCCAAAACCCTGTTGTAGTGGTACAGGTTTTTTTTTTTTTTTTTATGCCCATTACCAGATCCTCTAAAACACTTTTAAATAAGATACAACATTGACATCCGCCTCAAAGAAGAATTCATTAAAGGGATGAAGTAATCTGCAGATAGCAGATGCTCTAAAGCACTCAATGTGGTGGCTGCTAGAATCTTAGATTTTAAGGAGAACTTCAATCATACATCATGGTTTGACCAAGAATGTCTTCAGGTAACAGCTAGAAGTAACAACTAGAGGTAACAACCATATATGATAATGTGACTAGCACTACACAATACAAGCAGCTCAGGTATATAGTGAGGAGGAGGAGATGATTAAATAAAGACAGTTGAAGTGGTACGGGGTAATAGTGAAGTGGTATTGATAAATAGAATATTTATTCTAAAATGAATTAAGAAAATAGGAAAAGTCGATAAGTTGGCTAAGCTAAGGCCTTGAAGTAGTTATGCAAGTATATTATGAGGCTCTATGTTTGTATTATTGAAATTTAAGTTTTTATTCAAAGATATACATACTAACATATTCTAGGACAGGGGTCGGCAAACTACGGCCAGCGAAAGTTTCATTGATTACATGATAAAATTTTAAAAATATGAAATTTTGTAAATCTCCCTAACAATAGGTTATTACAAGATTTATTGTACGAGTTGCTCTCTTAGAAAGCTCATTTCACAACTGAAGTGTAATTTATAGAATAAGAATTTTTTTTTTTTCATCCCAATCCAGGACCAAAATATTAGAGACCTCTATTCTAGGATCTTATGATTCATTCAAGTGTACCCTACCATTTTTACCTGAAGATTTTACATTCCCGCAGCAAATTTGAAGAATCAGAGAATTTAGAGTTCATTTCACTGCCTCAAAATTTTAAACAAAAATATGTAATTTATTCAATTACTTTTACATACAATTAATATATTTTAAAATATACCTGTAACTCATAGGTAAAAAAAATAAATAATAAAAGTTAAATATATTTTTCTCGTATATATTATTATATTATATGTTTTTCAATAATTATGTTGATTATGTTAATTGTTACTCATAATTTTTATAGATACTATTAAATCATATTAAACAGAAATAAAGCAGCGTATAACCAGCTCAAACAGAGCTTTCTTCTCTCTCTCAAAGGTATTGAAATCTCGAAAAATCTCAAATTAAGGGTGTAAAATGCTATGATAAAGCCAGTTCTTATCTAGAAAAAAGTATCGAATGATTTGAGAGGAAAATCTTCCGCATAATAACCGGAGCGATCTGGGATCAGAATACTAACATATGGAGAAGAAAGACCAATAAAGAACTGCTTACAGAAACAGGACAACCAATAATAAAAAAAATTATACTTTATTTATTCTGGGAAGAGTCCCTTTAGAATAATACAGAAATAAATAAATATGGGCTAAGTAGCCTTAGAGATACATAAATAAAAAATACAGAGTAATTAAACAGTCAGTAAAAAAATGAAAAATCATAAGTTCCTTTCTAATTTTAATCGGTTAATAATGAAAAAAAAAGGATGAAGTAAAAATAATGAAGAACGAACTAATAATTTATATACATATTTACAATTTCATGAAGACTGGATGGATAAGAAATTATTGAACAGGCGGGATTTAAAGGTAGGAACGGTATTGGATTGACGAATGTGAGAGGGGATTTTGTTCTAAAGGGATGAGCATCGGATAATGAAAGATCTGTCGAAAGCAGCGGTTCGGTGGCCCTTATGTATAAATCAGAAGACCTGGATCGAGTATTGCGGGAACGAACGGAGGATTTGAATTGAAGGAGCTCGGAGATGTATGAAGGACAGTGAGATTGGATGACTTGAAAGAGGAAGGATGCCAGGAAATACGACGGTAGGAAGGATAAAGCCACTTCAACTCTGCATAAAGACGGGAAACAGAGACGTCCCTTGGGATCCCGAAGATGAATCGTACAAAGCAATTTATCAAACAAAGGAGATGGTCCGGGGTTGTGGTCATAAATAGGCTAAATAGTGGTAAAACTATTTTATTGAAAGCCGACGTTTCGACCCGACTTTGCAGGTCTTCTTCAGGGCTAGAACGGACAAGATACAAAATGATAGAGAATTGTTGCAGTTACATAATATTTAGACATAATTTATAAACAATTTGAATAAGTTTATTAAAATTATAAACAGTAAGTACAATAAAATATGAACAAAGTAAGATGAGTAACAAGATCCTAAACTGAAGTAAATAGATGCTAACAATTGTTGTAGTGTAATATATAATAAATGAAAATGTGAATACACTTCTATAAATCTACAGGAGAAATTGAAAGAATAATTGTTACTCAGCTTACTATGTTCATATTTTATTGTACTTACCGTTTATAATTTTAATAAGCTTATTCACATTGTTTACAAATTATGTCTAAATGTTATATAACTTCCACAATTCTCTATCTTTTTGTATCTTGTCCGTTCTAGCCCTGAAGAAGACCTGCAAAGTCGAATCGAAACGTCGGCTTTCAATAAAATAGTTTTATCACTATTTAGCCTATTTATGACCGCAACCCCGGACCATCTCCTTCCTTTATAATGCAACGGTCAACTATTAAATATTCAAGTTATCAAACGTTTTATGCCATGATATGAAGACACGGAGGTTAAGATGGGCGGCGTAGCTCGTAGCTATCCATTGGATGGAATTCACGATGGAAACAGTGCTCAGCCTAGAAACTTGTCTTAATGCCCTCATTTGAAGAAATAACTGTTGTATTCATGAAAGGAATGATATGGATTCCAGAGATAATTTCTTATTAGCTATTTTTATCCCACTAGCCTTGGAATTGCATGTAAATAAATAAAAATAAAGATAGGAAGATGCATCAATCAGGAGCTAAACAAATAGACGGATGGCCTCGGATGTCGGAAGGAGTGGGGGGGGGGGGGCGACCCTGACCTCGGTTAATCGGCCTTGCAGCTGCATCTGTCGAGTGCATCAGATCTGCGTCTGTCGAGTCGCTGCCGCGCGTATATTTCGCACACTTAATATAATATTTCTTTAAATATATATATATATATATATATATATATATATATATATATATATATATATATATATAATGTATGATTGTTGTATATTTAGAAATAGAAAATAACTTTATTCTGGGACAAAGTCCCTTTAGAATAACAAAATAGAACATAATTAAAATACTACATCTGGCAAAAATAAAACAATAATAAAATAGAGAAAGTAAAGAAAATATTAGTTAAACAAGGTATATACAAAAAATAAAAAAATATATACAAAACATTTAAAACTATGATAAAACACTTAAGACGATGTACAGTAGGAAAAATTATAATTATACTCTTTTGAAAAATAAAATAATAAAAAATACATTGAGTTCTTCTTTAAAATGAGGTATGTTTCTGCTAACAAGTAAAAGACAAAGCTGATAATATAAAATATCAGTGTATTTAAATACTGATTAATATGTAGACTCATCATTGTCAAATGCTAGCTATAGGTACAGATTTAATTATTTACGAATAAAAAAAACAAAACAAACAATAGATGCGGTCAGTGGCATTAAGAGCAGGAAGATATGGTAATATCCTTAGTGAAGTTCACAGTATAGAATAGTACTATCGTTTGATGAGGACTAGAAATGTATAATATCGAAACTTTAGCAAGTATCTGACTGTTTTTTTGATAGGAATTGGAATAGGAGGGATTTGAATGTGGATATGGAGGGGGAGTGCCGAATTTTGATAGGTATAGAATTCCAGAAATTGAGAGCGCGAGGTATAAAGGAATTCTGAAATGAGGCAGATCTGTGAGAAGGGATGTAGAGGTCAGAAGGTCGAGATCTTGTTGAAAGGGAAAGGACCGAGGACTTGAATTGGAGAAGGTTGAAGGCGTAAGAAGGACGATGGTTGTTGATGATTTGATAGAGGAACGTATATATATATATATATATATATATATATATATATATATATATATATATATATATATATATATATATATATATATATATATATATATGTAGCCACTGTTTTGGCAAAATAAACTCCTGAAATTTACAAAATATTTACTCTATGGTAAATAAACTGTCTGTGCTAACCTGCTAAAGTTTTATTAGTTACAAGTAGGCCCAGTTATCAAAGTTATCAAATCAGTTATTATATAGTTATCAAATGCCAAATTAATAACAAAATAAAATAATGCAACGTATCAAACGATAAATAAATCAATTGTTACCTTATCGATAAATATAATCGACAAAGAAAACAATAATTAATTTAAATCTTCATTAATGTTTGGAACCAACATGTTTCCAACTTTCAATAAGCTGTATCTTTGCTAAAAATTGTCAGATTTCGATGATTTTTTTTTTAAATCATTTTTTAGGGAATTTATTAATCTTTTATATAATCATGGACATGACCGAGAGAAAAGTGTGTATTTTTTTAGTTATTCGCAAATAAAGTTTCTTTTCTTTCATAACTTTTTTGCCTGAATTTTCGGGATGATTGGACTATTTTTCCCGTCTGAAGGAGAAGGAAGCCTTCGAAATTGGTGGCTCAATCTTGAGATTTGGTGAAGAATTAACGATGATATTGCTTGCCGATCAAAAACACCATCGATAAATAATATAAGCTCTTCCTCTCTCGATCATAGAGGCCTCAAGTCGACGAAATGAGACATGTATTCAATGACTAGGGAGCGTAAATATACCAAGGTGTATTAAGAATTTTTCATAAATTTTTTTATTGTGTTGTATGTATTTTGTTTTGCCTAACTCCAAATTTCTGCTTTGTATGTCCGAATCGGTCTCGGTACAGAATTGTTGATCAGGCGCTTGTATTGTAGATTACTGCTATTAGAGTGACTCTTCTGAGTTATATGATCTTTTCTTTTGAATCTTGCAATAATTTTGTTGCTATTACTTACAGTTATTATTATTATCAACTATTAATATTACTTACCTTTGACAGCGATAGTTTCCTTAACAGTAAGCGGTACACCTAAGAGTGGCTTGTTGTTCAGTTCTGAGACCAGCGAATTTTCGACCAACTCGTCCACGGCTCTCGCTTCTTTCAGTGCCTCTTCGAATCTGTCCTGTACGACACTGAAAAAAAAAAGATTTTTAAATCATTCAAATTTTGTAGTTCCCTTTCGCTACTCCAAGTTGATAACCGGTTTCAAGATCACGCTCAAACCATTTAATATCAAAATTACCCAAGTATTGATAATCATGTTTACATATAACGACAGAATTTCTTTGACTTATTGTTATCAGTGCGCGGTGCAGATTACTTTTAAACAAATTATTAACATCCACCTGAAACTTCGTGAATGGCTTTCTCTAATCGTCACCTAAAACTTTTTTATTTACGAAAATTTTCGGAAATGAGGAGTTTTAAAACTGGAGATCGGTAAATGTTGTGAATGTAATGAGGCACTAATAAGTCAAAAGAGTATCCATTTGCTTTCCACTTAAATCTTTCAATAATTTCAATAATAATAGTTTGGCTTGTAGTGCAGTCAACGAATGCATGAAAAGGGGATATAGAAGGAAATGGCGGCGATTCAATTTTTGACTTTGGGGCATTGTTTAGACTACTAAGGAGTTAAACATATTGAAAGTGCCCGCTCCTAGGTGGTCGCCCACATGTGGAGGGGAGCAACTAGTAGGTAATTTTTTTCGGGTTTTCGTTTATATCAGGAAAACTATCCATCGCATCGAAAAAGACGTTCTATAGAAAATTAAAGCTGATAAAATTTTCAATATGGTTAATTATATATCTTTTTTCGCTATAACGCTTAGCTTCCGAGATATCCGTCCTCAACTATTAATCAGTGGTACAGACCTCTTTTTATAGAATTATTAACATCGGCCTGAAACTTCGTAAATAGCTTCAGCTCATCGTAACCTACAACTATTTTACTTATGAAAACTCTTGGAATTGGGGAGTTTTCAATCTGGAGGGGGGCAAACTTTGTCTATTTAATTAGGTATTAAAAACTCGTAAATACCCATTTGCTTTCTTCTTGGATCGTAAGATAATTTGATTACAAAGTCGAGAAAAAAGTGGCCTTCAAAAATATTGAGCCACTTGGCTTGATATACACCATCAAATTTTCAAAATCACGAGGTTATATACGACAAACGGCCCAATATTTTTGTAGGCATTATAGGTTACGATGAGATAAAACTATTTACGAAGTTTCAGGCCGGTTTTAATGATTCGATAAAAAGAGGTCTGCACTACGGACTATATGACTAATTTTGAAAAAAAAATTAAAAAATTACCGCGTGTTTATTGCTGTTTTTTGAGTTTTCGCTTATATAGGGAAAACTATCCATCGCATCGACAAAGACATTCTATACAAATTTAAAGTTAATGAAATTAACAATGATTGACTATGTACCTTTTTGACTATCTCAGTAAGTTTCCGAGATATCCGTCCTTCAGCTATCGCTAATGTGGAAAACAAATTTTTCTACCTCATGTTTTTTATTATATTTAACTTGCTAACTCTTGATTGGTTTGTTTTACAATTAAGTCATGAAACAAGAAAGTTTTTAATAATTGAATTTTCTTCAAGAATATTTATTATTTTACTAGTTTATCTTCAACGGTTCAAAAGTTACATCACTTATAACTTTATATATCGATTCCGGCAATTTGGAGACAAAAATAACTTTTATAATAAACGTTATTGTATGTATGTATATATATATATAGATATATAGGTATTTAGATGTATAAAAAGTTGGAGCAATATAATAATAACGAATGTTATAAAAATTATTTTTTTCTGCAAATTCTTGGAATCGGAAAATATCTTATCTAATAATAATAATAATAATAATAATAATAATAAGGCTTAGCGAACCCGAAGGTTCGATGCCGACACCACCAATCGCTTGTTACACACCTCCCTCCACCGTTCGCCGTCCAAACCCAGTCCCTTCAGATCGGCTTTAATGCAATCTTCCCATCTTCGCTTCGGTCTACCCCTCGGACGCTTACCATTCGGCACAGCAAATATTAACCTTTTAGGAATATCTTATCTAATATCGGAAATTATTGGAAAATATCTCTTACTAAAAAATAAAATTATATAGCTTGTAATTTTCTCATCCTCAGAGCAATCTTTATCTTCACTTTCTTTTTTTTTTATGTGGCACCATTTGTCAAAAATCAAATATTTGTCACATTTTTTAAAACTATTTTTTGATGTTACACATCTTTAGAGTGTATCAATGAATATGTAAAGATGTGTAACACCAAAAAATGTGACAAATATTTGATTTTTGACAAATGGTGCCACATAAAAAAAAGAAAGTGAAGATGAAGATTGCTCTGATGATGGGAAAATTGTCCCGAAACGTAAGAGACAACAAATGTAATTTAAAAAATTTAAAGAAAATTGAAAGTATTATTGCCTTAGATATGAAAAAGTTATATTTAACTTATATATGATTGATTGTGCATTTATTAAAACCTCATTTTACCATCGAGTAGTATTCTATATTCATATATATTTTAAGATTTTTTTCAGAAATCATGCTTTCATAGGAGTAATGTTTTTTGTTTTTTTTAAATAATAATAATAAGGCTTAGCGAACCCGAAGGTTCGATGCCGACACCACCAATCGCTTGTTACACACCTCCCTCCACCGTTCGCCGTCCAAACCCAGTCCCTTCAGATCGGCTTTAATGCAATCTTCCCATCTTCGCTTCGGTCTACCCCTCGGACGCTTACCATTCGGCACAGCAAATATTAACCTTTTAGGAATATCTTATCTAATATCGGAAATTATCGGAAAATATCTCTTACTAAAAAATAAAATAATATAGCTTGTTTGCCTCCAATACAAAATTACAAAATACTTGATTAAAATGAAATTGAAACTTTCATCCCTCACTGGTAGTTACGTAGAAAATACGCATGACAATAAATTATGTACACAAAAAATATAAATAGAAAAATACCCATAATAAAATGATACATAGAAAATTTTGATCGATACGAAAATATATAACTTTGCAATTATTGTCATTCTCAGTTGATAATCTAATTTTCAGATCGCAATCCTACAGATTATATTAATTTCAATATTTTAACAATTATTATCTACTTTGTTTTTTTTTATGGACTCATTTGGGTATTTTCGGGTACCTACGAGTGGCATATGGTTTTAGTGATCTTGAAACAGGCCACAATCTTGATGTAGATAAATAATACTACTATCCAAATTTGTTAAAATACAAAATTATTTTGTATAAATTTTACAATTTTTTTTTTAATATTATTTTGAAATTTTAAAATACCTGTTGATATACGGCTGGACATCTTTTATTCTGTTTATGTACGCTTCAACCACATCCACGCATCGTAACTGCAAATTAAACAGATAACAATACAATAAAAATATAAATAAAAAAATAAAGTAACTTAATTATTCAAGGAATTTGGTAAACGAAGTCAGGGAAACATTATTTTATAATTATAATTCTATTTTAAAATTTATACCAAGTATTCTGTGTTTCTAAAATTCAGTTTATTTTAATTAAAAAGTACTTAAATTTTACTCAGAAAAAGTAGTTTTCTTTGTAGAAAAAGCAAATGTATTTTGCATTTTAATTACAAAAACACATAAAAAATACTTACGTCTTATGAAAGCCATTAAAAAAAAAAACTTTTGCGAGGAGAAGCGTTAAGAGATAAGAAGATTTTTTAAATGATTAATTGGGAATAAAATGTATTATCTAATTGTAATTGTAATAACTGAACAAGTTATAATAGTTACGCTTGGTTTTAATTATATTATTTTAAATATTTTGTAAGGAATTCCATAAGTTGAATTTATCTTCCTACGTCGAAAAGTACCTATTTGAATATATTATTTAAGAAACAAAAAGACATTTTTTTCAACAAAATATGATAAGAATTCCTGCATAAGTTTTAAAATAATAATTAATTTTATGATCTAAGAAAATTTTCTTAAAACTTTGACACAATCCAACATAACAATATTCAGAATCGATTTTTAGTTTTTGAGATATTATAATTCATATGCCAAAACAATTCAATTAGTTGAATCCAGCTGACTTTACTCGAGCGTTACACATCGGAGATCTGACGGCACAATATAATTCACTACCAAAAAAAAAAAAAAAAAAAAATTGGTCTCAACTCCTTTTCTTTTCGGAATCGGCCGGTGCATCAAAGAACTTTTTTGTTTAAAATTTTGTCTCGAAACAACTTTCAGAGTTCGGCCAATTAATACTGAGCCACCCTGTATTTGAGTACAAATGTTTAAAGTGAACTTACATCTTTAGCCTTAATCTTCTCGGCCAACTTCTTGGCGCTGATGAACAGGGCGTCCGAGGAGATCCGCGGTAGGTCATCCTTCTTCTTGTAGTTGGTGAAGTAGGTGAGGAAGTAGACTAGCCAATCCAAGACGTCGAAGATAAACCTGATCAGTTTATTCACCAGCCGCGCGAACTGTTTGTGATCGATCATCTGAAAAATAAAATAATAAATTCTGTAAACTTTTATATAATTTATAAAGTATATATCGACAGCCACACTGCAAAAACTTGTAAGAACCAAAATTAAAAATTTTCTGTTTATGAAAAAACTGCGTAATTTGCAGTGATGGAAAAAAGTATTTGCACATCATGTTTTTATGAATAAATGAGTTCAAGGAACCAAAAAACTTGGCTTTCTTCTACAAAAATGAAAAGTACATTTGTTAAAAACTGAGAAAAACCTATTGAAAAAAAAAATGACAACACTCCATAATGAAACAAAAAAATTAAAACAATAAAAGTGCTTGGAAAACAGTATTTGCACACTATTACTCACAAGCACTGTTTACTTTGGCATTAGTCCTCCTGTGTCCATAGGTCATGGGTTTGTTTATGAATTTATCACTAATCGTTTATTACCAGTATTCTCTAGTGTTTCAATAAGTTTCCTTTAGTCAATAGACAATGATCATGCCAAAGACAAGTGAACTGTGTGCCAGCAAGAGGATTCGGCAAAAAACATATCGCCAAATTGCCGATTTCTTAGGGTTGAATTTTTCTACAGTGAGATACGTCATAAAAAGGTATGAAGAACATGGTTCAACTGAAAACAGCGAGCGTAAAGAGCGTCCAAAAAAGTTAACTCCCAGGTTGAAGAGGAAAATCAGAAAAGAAGCTCTTAAAAATCCTCTAATAAGTTCTCGAGAGCTGGCTACTATGGTCCAATCAATGTCTGGATTTCAGATTACTAGCAGAACAATTAGATATGCCCTGAATTCGGAAGGGCTCCATGGTAGAGTTCGAAGAAAGAAGCCATACAACGAATCGCAAAAAGCACCTTGCTTTTGCTAGGGAGTACGTACAGAAACCCTTAAGCTTTTGGGAAAATGTCATATTTTCTGACGAAATCAAATTTAATTTGTTTGGTTCAGATGGTCGAAGGACGATATGGCGACATCGTAATGAAGCCCTAAAGAAGCAAAATGTTTTAACAACTGTAAAGCATGGTGGATGACATGTTATGGTTTGGGGGTGTGTTTCCTACCATGGCGTGGGAAATCTTGTGAGCATCGAAGGCATTTTAAATGCGGAAGGCTACGTGAACATTTTGCGACGTAATTTGCTTGTTAGGGTCGAAAAAATGGGAATCCAGGATCAGTACTATTTCCAGCAGGACAACGATCCAAAACATACTGCGAGGAGAACAAAGGAGTGGTTAATATTTAATGTTCCAAGACAGCTCCACACTCCTCCTCAGTCACCAGATATAAATATTATTGAAAATTTATGGCGCACCCTTGACCAAAATGTAAGAAAACACCATATCACTAGTGGACATCACCTTAAACAACTTCTTGTTCAAGAATGGGAACAAATAAACGTAGATTTAATTAAAAACCTAGTGCATTCAATGCCCAGACGTCTACAAGCAATTATTGACGCAAATGGCCTATTTACAAAATATTAAAACTGTTCAAATTTAAAATAAACTTGTAAATGTGGAAGTGTGCAAATACTTTTTTCCAAGCACTTTTATTGTTTTAATTTTTTTGTTTCAATTTGGAGTGTTGTCATTTTTTTGTAAAAAGGTTTTTTCAGTTTTTAATAAATTTACTTTTCATTTTTGCAAAGGAAAGCGAAGTTTTTTGTTTCCTTGAACTACTTTATTCATAAAAACGTGTTGTGCAAATACTTTTTTCCATCACTGTATATGCAGAAACGATTTATCTCCTTACATTGATTTAAAACTAAATGATTTTTAATATCAGTTCGGTTCAATGCTCATTGTAATATTATGAATGGTTTTAAATGCCATATTTATTTTTCATTTAATAAAAACTGACATAAATATAGCATCGACTTGTGGACAAGTCTTCTTTGTTTTGTTTTTTTCAAACTAATAAGTGATTAAATAAAAACTATATGAACGAAGTTGAGCGATAATATAAGATTTATTGAGAGGTATTAAAGAGATGAATATTGTTTTCATTGATAGAAGATAAATCAATGAATGTGTCATAATTTTCCTGATATAAGTGCAATCTATTAAATCGTTTATGCAAATATATATCAAATCTGGCCGACTTATGCAATAGAATATAATTGCAATATAACTCTTCAACGATGAAAACAACAACAAAGTCAGCTCTTATACAACAACAAGAATCTTTCAAACCTACAAAATCTTTAATAAAAATGAATCTATAAAAGTTAAATAAGATCATAACAATAATAAAAATGTTAAGTTCTAGAGCACCTACAGTTCTTTATGGTTACGAAACGTGGCCGCTTACACTAAGGGATGAGCAACGTCTTAAGGTTTTTGAAAATAAAGTATCGCGTAGAATATTCGGACCGAAGAAGGATGAATTAACCGGAGAATATAGACGGTTACACAACGCCTAATTGCGTGAACTATATCCTTTTTTTTTTTTTGTTTATTTAATGAAATTTACAACTAATAATACAAAATACAACAACAAAAAATACAACAAGTAAATATGCGCAAATATAAATAATTGCATGTACAGGCTTGAAGAGTTACTACCCAGTGGTAGCACTCTCTAAATAATTTTAAGTAAGAAGATCCAGGCCATCTCCTTTTCAGACGCCTAGGAGGATTATCAGGAATCGAGAAAGAAGCAAGAGTGGAAACAAGCGGATTTGGATGGGACTGAAGTTTATCATGAAAGGATTGATATCTGGCTCGAGCTAAATCAGCGACATATAGTACATTAAGGTCTTTATGAATGGTTTTATTTGTGACAAAGTATGGAGCATTAAGGATTTTACGGAGGATTTTGGATTGTAAGGATTGGATACGATAGGAATTCGATGGTTTGGTAGAGCCCCAAAGCTCAAGAACTATATCCTGATAATATAATTGAGGTAATTCCATCCCAGCGAATCGAATGGGCCTGTAAAATTGTTGGGCTTAGTAACGAGAGAATTCCTAAAAGGTTAATATTTGCTGTCCGAGGGGTAGACCGAACCGAAGGTGGGAAGATTGCGTTAAAGCCGAACTGAAGGGACCAGGTTTGGACGGCGAACGATGGATGGAGGTGTATTATAAGCGATTGGTGGTGTCGGCATCGAACCTTCAGGTTCTAATAGAGAACATCAATCAGAATAAAAACTACATTTTATTTAAAACTGCTTAATTTTACACTGATATAGTGAATTTAATCAAAATCGTTAAAACTGTTTTCGAGAAAATCGTAAAATTGTATTTAGTCCATTATATAATGTACAACTTCCGCTTAGCCGATTTTGACGGAAAAGTTGCTGTAATTTATATGCTCCTAGCATATAAAAATCTGACATACACTATTTCACTTTCGTATGACTTTTCTTTTTTAAGCTAGACTGTTAACACACACACCATTTGGCGGCTCTTGATTATTTGGACTCAGGGGATCTCAAAATGTGTATTTCCGTTGAAAACTGAGATTCTAAAATTTTCACATTGTTTAAGTGATTCTTGAAGTCCACGGGCGGAACTCCGGGGGGCTTTCGGGCTGAATCACCTCCCCCCCCCCCTCCAAATGGTAAAATATAACCATGTTTTATCGAAAAAAAATATTTTAAAAATATCTCTTAAAGTATTATTATTCGTATGATTACATTTAAAAGGGCTTTAGGAATCACTTAAACACCTTCGGGCTGAAGCCCCCCCAAAAAAAAATAAATCCTGGATCCTCTAGTGTCGAAGTCCTATTAAATGTAATAACACGAACAGCAATACTTTAAGAGATAGTTTTTAATATTTTTTTTTTCTATAAATATGGTTATATTTTACCGTTTGGGAGGGGGCTTCAGCCCCAAAGCTTCCCCTCTCTCCCGTAAATCCGCCAGTGATTTAATGTACGGTAAACATAATTGAGGTTATTACATAGTAGTCAATAAAATATGCATATAAAATTGTAAGATTTAGTAACGATAGAAATCTATAAAAGGTTAACATGCGCTGCCGAAATAAGATAAGCTTCGGAAACACGTGTCTGAACCAGATCAAGAGATGTGACGAAACAGTTTATAGCAATAATCTTATCAGAATTATAACTCGTCTCGGGTCGTCCTCGTTCGATTTAAGCCGAATAAAGATCTCGTTGCAGAACCGGTCCGCGAACACGGTCTCAAAGGTCGCCGAGTACTCCGGTAGTCGCTGCAATTCGTGAGGCCTTGTCTTTTTTTGGGGCGTTGCGTCACGGATGCATGTGCATGCTTGAAGGTCTCGGGAACATGGTTCTGGTCTGCTCTACTTCTTTTTTTGGATAATTCTTTTTTAGTCCGACAGGAAAAAAATCCAGACAATTGAAGTTATACCGAGTTTTATTTAAGAGTTTTAATGGACACTTGAAACTAATACGAATTTCTTTTTCAGAGTGAAAATTTAATTGGCCTACAGTCCTGGAAGGATCCTTTGGTTTTAATAATTTCTTATACCTTTTTATTTTACTGAAATTTACAACTGTATTACGTAGAAAATACATCAAGTAAATGTGACATTGGTAACATGACATGCACAACATGAAGAGAAACTACCCGTTGGTAGAACTCAAATTAAAGTTCAATATTAGAAAGTCCCGAGGCCATCTTCTTTTCAGACGCCTCGGAGGATTATCAGGGATCGAGGAGGAAGCAAGGTTCGAAACGAGAGGATTCAAATGGTTCTGCAGTTTGTTATTGAAGGATAGGTATCTGGATTGGGCCAAATCGGAAACATATGGAACATTAAGGTCTTTATGGATGATTTACTTTGTGACAAAGTAAGGAGCGTTGAGGATTTTACAAAGGATTTTGGATTGGATGCGAGAGGAATTCGATGGCTTAGTGGAGCCCCAAAGCTCAATTCCGTAAGTCCAAATAGGTCTTATTATAGTCATATGTATGAGTCGTTTGTAATTGATTGAAAGCTTAGAGCGTTTGTCTAGTAGTCTGCAGTAGTCGAAAACGTCAGGTGGTTCTTATAAATTTAAATTAATTTAATAT